TCCCTCTCTCGCTGTGTCTCTCTCTGTCAAATAAATAAATAAAATCTTTAAAAAAAAAAAAAAACTAATGATGTAATGTATGGTGATTAATACAATAAAAAAAAAAGGAAAAAAAAAAATTGAAAAAAAAAAAAATGTACCTAGGCAATCTGGCTCCAGAGCCTGCATTCTTAACAGTGCGTGTTTACGTGTATAAAAACAATCTTCTGAAAAATAGACAGGTCCAAATATATCTATCTAAATAGATATATCCACTTATCTATTTAGATAGATAAATAAACACACACAGAGCAAGTATGCAATGTAGGTATCATCCATCACATTCAAAGAGGAAGCCAATGACTATTTGTGGGTTCACATAGACTACAGAGCAACCACTTACATGACCAACTGTCCTTGCCAAACCAGCAAGTATTTTCTAATTGACTCATTTGCTAGGAGGAAAATGCCACGCTAACACACAGCATCTACAGCCGTGCTGACCGCTGGGGCAGCAGGGCCAGGTGTGATGTGACTGAGGGCGGGGCCGGCCTGGGAGGAGCTCCGGGGGCAGCCCCGCAGTGAGATGCACTGCCTGAGCCGTCAAATTCGCCGCCACAGCTCCTTCTGCACGAGCAGCTAAGTCTCTCAGTGGAAAGCAGGGTCCCTAAGGCGTTCACTCTCCTTTTTTGGCCATGACGCAATTTTATTTATTCTGCTGGCCATAAGTAAAGACTAGTCTTATTTGGTCATAGCAAATCAAAAGTCTATCTAAAAATAGAAAACGTTGGGGCACCTGGGTGGCTCAGTTGGTTAAGCGACTGCCTTCGCCTCAGGTCATGATCCTGGAGTCCCGGGATCAAGTCCCACATCGGGCTCCCTGCTCAGCGGGGGGTCTGCTTCTCCCTCTGACCCTCTTCCCTCTCTTGCTATCTGTCTCTCATTCTCTCTCTCTCAAATAAATAAATAAAATCTTTAAAAAAAAAATTCTTAAAAAAAAAATAAAATAAAAAATAAAAATAGAAAATGTCCTAAAATATATTGGAAGTAAAAACCTGGCTGACTGAGAGGCCATTTTTGCAGCAGGAAACATGTTTACAGACAGCAGTCTAAACATAAAACACTGGAGAACACTGTCTTTAGTTTCAGTAGTTTCCAACATTGCTTATACAACTGATCTTATTCAATGTATCTTACAATAGAAGTTAACATTTTTGGGGAATGCCCCATGACAGAAGATGTGGCACTGCATTACAGAACATGCCTGTTGGCAAAGGTGATGCCACTTACCTCTTCGGCCGTCCAGAAGGATGCCTGTGCCTTTTTATACATTTTCCAAATATCAGGGTATTGGATTGGGAAGATGACAAATCGGCGAGAACTCTTTCGTAGGAGTGGCTCTTCATCTGACTTCACTTCATTTTTGTTGGTATCTGAAGATAATCTCTTTGGGAAATAAAGTACAAACACCCATTTTTGTAGACATTCCCTCTTTAGTCATATCTAAACACACACTGGGGGAGGGTAGACAGACAGCACAGGCTGAGGAGCCTGTCTGCCTGGGTTGAATCCTTTACCGTTATCTGTTCCTGGTTAATAGTGTTTGGTTAGTTGTGTGACCATAGAAAGTTGCTTAACTTCTCTGAGCCTTGGTTTTTCCTTATCAGTAAAATAACACTTACCTCGTAGGTTAATCTTGATGATTAAAAGTGCTTTAAAGAGAGTCTGTTGCATAATAAGCACGCAACAAAATTGTCATTATTGCTACTTTAAGGATAAGCACAAAACTCGATCCATAAATGTCATGGTGTGCAAATTTCTAGGTTTGTGCACTAAATGTGCTTTCAGTGCCTTTCTCAGAGATAGGATGCTGGCACGAATAGGATACTATTATAAACTTTATTTTAGTTTTAAAGATTTTTTAAATTTGTTCATTTCAGAGAGAGAGCGCACATGCAAGAGCACAAGCAGGAGGGAAGGGTCAGAGGGAGAGGGAGAAGCAGAGTCCCCACTAAGCAGGGTGCCTGACCCCAGGACCCTGGGATCATGACCTAAGCTGAAGGCTGATGCTCAACCGATTGAGCCACCCAGGTGCCCCTACTTTCTTATTTTAATGTTTTCTTTTCTAATCTGAACTATCATAATACTTACCTGAAAACTCCTTACCAACAATTTATCAACCTTCATTCATCTGAACCTTCCCATATACCAATTTGTTATTACTATTTACTTGTTAACATTACTACAGATGGTTTCACTGTGGGCTGGCTTAAAGTTTTGTGGATCAAGTGAGAAGCACATACCCGTATACCTACAACTTGGAAATGATGGCATTCCAAGGGACAGTGCCAGGTATATATATATTTTTTATTTTTTTAAAAATTTTTATTGTTATGTTAATCACCTTACATTAACATCATCAGTTTTTGATGTAGTGTTCCATGATTCATTGTTTGTATATAACACCCAGTGCTCCATGCACTACGTGCCCTCTTTAATACCCATCATCAGGCTAACCCATCCTCCCACTCCCCTCCCCTTCCCTCTAGAACCCTCAGTTTGTTTTTCAGTCCATCATTTCTCATGGTTCATCTCCCCTTCTGATTTCCCTCCCTTCATTCTTCCCCTCCTGCTTTTTTTTTTCTTAACATATATTGCATTATTTGTTTCAGAGGTACAGATCTGTGATTCAACAGTCTTGCACAATTCACAGCGTATATTTTAATAGTCAGCAAAAGTATCAGAAGAGTTGTACTTTGCATGAGAATATATAGAGAGTATATACAGTTAGGCTTAAAATGTATACGTTAAGATTACTGGGATACATTTAAATTCTGGACTCCTAACTCAAACTGTCTTCTCTCTCCAGTGCCAGGCCCATCACGTTCCTTCATCCTTTTTTTTTTTTTTTAAGATTTTATTTACTTGACAGAGAGAGAGCGCGCAAGAGCAGGAACACAAGCAGGGGGAGTGGGAGAGGGAGAAGCAGGCTTCCCACCGAGCAGGGAGCCCAATGCGGGGCTCGATCCCAGGACCCTGGGATCATGACCTGAGCCGAAGGCAGACGCTTAACGAGTGAGCCACCCAGGCACCCCACGTTCCTTCATCCTTATCATTGCTGCCACCAACCACATCTCTCTGAAGCAAGTGTACTAAGGCAAGGCAAGATGAGAAAAAGACTAAAAATCAAAGCATGAGGCTATGCAAATACAGGTAGGGCTTGCACACTGCACACATACTAGTATTATAGTAGAGACTGTCTTATTTGAAGGTGTAGGCCTCCCCAGATAAAGCACTTGAGCCCTGGAGAGTAGAAACCACTTTTTATTTATTATGGCGCTCCCAGAGTACTGTGTCGAGCATAACATCAATAAATGTTAGCTAAGTAAGTGAATGGGCCGCTAATTTCTTTTTGTCTTATGATTGGGTTACTGGATACCTTTTGAATTTAATTTAACATAAGGCCACAATACATCAGTGAGATGACCTGATAACCACTCAAATCAAGCCTTTTCTGAGTGCTCCCACATCTCTCCCCCATCACCCTAAAGGCCTGGATTCGGTCCCTAATATAGCACATAGCTCACTGCAATTAATTCCTTGTTATTTGTCTATAGTCCCCTCTAGACTATGCTTCTTGAGAGTAAAAACTAACTTTACTCTTGTGGAATCCCTAGAACCCAGCATAGTATCAGGCATTTAGTTGATGTTCATTTCCCAAATATTCAAACAAATTTTTAAAATGGAAGCTGTCAAGTTTTTTGTTTGTGTTGCCTTTATATATTTTGTCCCTGGGGTACAGATATGGATTCAGAGCTGGAATTCCTTACCTTTGCAGTATTTGCTATGTGAACCTTCATAAGCAATAACTCTTTGGTACCAAGCACCCTGGCCCTGAGGGAGTTTTTAAATGCTGATTAAATAATTGAGCAAAGTCAGGATCTATGAAAACTGCTGAAGACTAGCACCTTTTATTAGAATGAAAGTCACTTTTGTACCTATATTCTTCCTGTTCCATTCTGATAACATGTGCATTAAGAAAAGCAGCTGGATTAGAAGAGCATTATGAAAGAGTTTGCGACATGAAGAGAGGGGAGGGCTTAACCAACATAAACCTCTGAATTGAGTCAAAGATGATATATTGCTTATTTTCATGATGTTTAAAAAAGTCCATACACATTTTAATACAATGCCAGGAGGGTCATACATCCCAAAGCTCTAGGATCTCTAGAATATCATCTATGGACCTGGGCTAAGAACACATATTTTAGAAGAGAAAACAATGTGAAAAAAGGCATGATGGTATGTGACTTTTTAAAAATTTTTATTTATGTGGTATATATATACAATGGAATATTATGCAGCCATCAAAAGGAATGAGATCTTGCCATTTGCAACGACATGGATGGAACTGGAGGGTATTATGTTGAGCGAAATAAGTCAAACAGGGAAAGACATGTATCATATGA